AACAAAACTAACTTTACTGATTATCCTATGGGCACTGAATCAACAACCTCTTTCCTGACCAAGCTCATTTCTGCAAGAGGCTCAGAGTCAACAGAAGTAGAGGCTGATCTCTCCCAGCAGCTTCATAAGGGAGATTTTGTTCCTAAATATGAAGTGGCAATGGAGTTGCACCCACTCCTCCAAATCTCTGACCAAGTCAGTAGAAATTAGTGAACTCTCCACCAATAGAATTTGGGTAAGTTGGCTTTCCCAGCTATTATGGTCACTAATCAGATGCCTAATTTTGTTGTAAGAATCTGAATGACCCTTGCCCATTTCTATGTATAGAAAACACTGAATTGTTACAAGGAAAACTGTCTTTATTCTACATATACCAAGTGCAGGTTTGTTGTGCATGTGGACCTTTCTTTCCATGACACCTAGGGAGCTAGGCACGAACTCCCAGATCCACAGTGAAGGAGTCAAAGCACAGGTTAAGTATCTTATTTAAAGTTATGCAGTTGGGATGGGTAGCACCAGGATACTAGCCCAGCCATATGACTCAGGGTCCACACTCTTTTAGCCATGACACCACATGGCTGCTTGGTGGAGTCTGTGTGCTGAATCTGGGTCAGATGGGCTGAGGCTCCAGGTTGAACCCACTCAGCATCACCCCCATGATGCTGCAATTCATTTAGTTTCTTCAAAGGCCAGGGCCCTCTGCAGTGGTGAGGCTTTCAATACAAAGATAGACAGGAGAGATTAATTACTAAATGGTGAAAAGCAAAGGGATGTCCAGTGGCATTATTGCTCAAAAAGCCCTCAAAGAGGTCAGCAGCTCCCTGTACTAACATGAAACAAGATTTTGAATCCCAGCCGCCTTCATGTGAACAAGGGTGCCCAAATTGTCCCCACCCCCTTTTTGAGGGAGATACTGGGGATTGAATTCAGAGGCACTCGACTACTGAGCCACATCCCCAGTCGTATTTTGTATTTTATTTAGAGATAGGGTCTCACTGAATTGCTTAGCTCCTTGCTTTTGCTGAGGTTGGCTTTAAACTCATGATCATCCTGCCTCAGCCTCCTGAGCCGCTGGGATTATAGGCAGGCACTACCACACCCGGCATGTGTTTGTTTTTATTAGGAGGAAAGTGTATGCTGTGGTGACGCAGAGGTAACAGATGCTGGCCCTCACAGGCATGTGCACACCAAGTGGCTGACGGTGCTGACTTCTGATGAGGGAGGCAGGTGCTCCCCAGAAGAACAGAATTTCTCACCATGATTCTCAAATCCCCTTGGCTATTGTTCAATATGTACTCACTGCAGCATGGAACACGATCCAGGACAGACCACATGCAAGTGTAATAATTGTCAGCATCCCTTAACAAAGCACCACAGACCGGGCAGCTTCACCCACAGAGCTGCCTCGCAGTTCTGGAGGCGGTCAGTGTCCAGATTTCCCATTTTTATAAGGACATCAATCATATTGGAGGGGGGGCCTCCTGCAATCTAGCACAGCTTCCTCTTAACTAATTATATCAGCAATGACCCTATTTTCAGGTAAGGCCACATTCTGAGGTGATGGAGGTTAACTTCATCGTATGAATTTTGGAGGAGATGCAACTTGACCTGTTATACCCACCAAGAGTACAGGGTGTAACATTTCACTATACTGAACATTAACTTTCCTGTTGTTCCTGGTTGCAAAGTGTCCATTTGAAAGTTTTCACCTTCCAACCTGGTAAATGGGGAGAGAGTATTAAAAACATCTGCATACAAGTCCACACCAACAAAAACAACTGTGAGTTCTTGTCCCTCCTGAGATTTAACAAAAGGGGTTGGAGTGAGGAGTTCTATTCTTTGGCCAGACTCTGGCATGTCCCTTTTGTGACTTGTGGCCATCTCCCAAACATCTCTATGTCTTTGACTCTTCGTTAACAAAATGGGGGTGATAAAAGTTTCTTTCCAAGACACCATAGAGGTCAATGGTACAACAGGTATGAGAATGATGGAGAAGCAACTTGGTACCCTGTAGCCCTGGATACTTTATTTAAAGACTGGCATGTGTGGCAGTGAGCAAAGGGTATTGTACCCTTGGGCAACCTTTTTCTCAAACTTGAATATAAATCCTTTCAGGCTTTCTGGATGGCAGCTGATGCCAACCCTACCAAAGAAACTTTTATTTTTCTTTTTACCAAATAAATTTTTTGAATAAGGAAAGAGGTAAGAACCAACAGGTGCAAGAGGGTACTACTGATCTATGAAATTTGTACCCAGATAACTTTATCACATTTCTCTCATTTTCATGTAATTTGATCATCTTTGGACATTATTCAGCTTTGCTTTTAAAAAATCATTAAAATATCAAACCACACCATTTAACAAGAGAATATGTACTTTGATACTTGAACAATTTTGTAAATTTTGCTATTTGGGACGAGGTGATGAAAATGGTGCTTTTTCAAGTGGGCCAGGTCATTTCCCCAGTGTCAGTTGCTACCCTCCACAGGCTGTACCCCAAAGAGGGGAGGACAAATGACCACAAAATGAGGTTACAGAGTGGTAGTTGTGAAACTTCATGGAAGGGTAGGGACTGTGGGTGCTTCACAGGGCCAGGAAGGCTTTCCAGAGAAGGTCACCTGCTGAGGAGTCATTCCAGAAAGCAGAACTAGCTGGTCACCAAGTGTTTCCTGAAGGCCTTAGGTATGAGCTATTGGGTAGATGGGTTGGGAACATGCTCCTACTTTAGGCAAAGACCATGAGGCATCATTATCCTCAACTCTCTGGTAGAAGCAGGTGAAAAGAAAGTTGATAGGTGACCATGTTGAACCTTTTACAAAAATGGCAATTCATGGAGCTCAAGCTAATACTAGTGCCAAAGAAAATGGAAACACCAATTCTAATCCTTGGGCCCATATAACAGAATGTGGGCAGTGGATTCCAAGCTATTAGAATTCTGGGATCTTCTAAAATAGACCAATACCTGGACAGAATCAATTAAATCAGAGATTCTGTATGGTGCCTCCTGAAGTGTGCTTAACCTCTTCTGGTTACCAGTATTTCTTTCTTTCTTTCTTCTTCTTCTTCTTTTTTTTTTAATCACATTGGTCATGCAGTCACACATCACGTATATACACACAGTAATAATAATGTCTGTTTCATTCTACTATCCTTCCTATCTCCCCAACCCCTCCCCTCCCCCCATCACTTCTCTCTACCTAATCTAGGGTAATGCCATTTTTTTTTTCTCAAGTATTCATACATGTATTTTGTATAACAATGAGGGTCTCCTTCCACCATCCATGCAATTCCCTTTCTCCCTCCCTTTCCCTCCCACCCCTCTTCCCTACTAGAGGTAATCTTCTTCCCATGCTCTTCCTCTTTTCCCCATTTTGAGTCACCCCCCCCCCCCCATATCAGAGAAGACATTCGGCATTTGTTTTTTGAGGATTGGCTAACTTCACTAGCATAATCTGCTCTAATGCCATCCATTTCCCTGCAAATGCCATGATCTTATTATTTTTAGTGCTGAGTAATATTCCATTGTGTATATATGCCACATTTTTTTTATCCATTATTTCATGGGACTCTTAGTTCTTGGTTTATCCGCATGATCGTAGAGGGGGCAATTACCTGGGATTTTCGCTAAAGGAGGACAGAATTAACGACCCTAGGGCTCCATCCTGAAGTATCAGCACAAAGTTCTCTCACCTCCAGTAAATGTAACCCCATGCGCTAGTGGGACTCTCCCTACCACTTACCCTTCTGAAAATAGAAAGTATCTCTCCCTCATTTGGGCATCCACCTTGTCCTTAGGGCAAACAGCACCGCTGTCTCATCTGTAATCTCTCCCCTAACCCCTGCACCTACACCTCACATCGTGTTCCCTGGACAGAGCAGTGCCAGGACCCTATTCTGGCTTAGTTCAGCAATAGAAATGACCCCTCAGGCGGAACCCCAGGGGTTCTGCCTCTGGAATTTCATCCAGCCCCTCCCCACACCTCCCCGCCTGCAGCTCCTGCCCGCTCCCGCACACCCAGAGGAGCCCTGGAAGGATCCTCCATAAAAGATCCCCGCGTGCGGACTGAGGGGCCCGGGTTCGAATGCCATAGGCCACTGCCACTCTCCTCTCCGCTCTGGGAAGGGGTGGGGAAGCGGTTCTTTTTGGTTACACCCGGTCATGACTCTGGGTCCACAGCCCGAGCCCCGGCTCTTTTCGAGTGACCTGTTTTTATTTGGGGAGGGGGAACACATTTGGCAAGACTACCTCTCCCACCACGAGAAATTTCAGCGTTTTTAGCGTTCCAAAAGACTCCCAGGGGGTGGGTTCTACTGTGCACGGGTGGGGAAACTGAGGCTCAGAGGGATAAGGGAGGTGCCAAGGTCACGCGACCCCTTTGACGGGCGGGGACGTGGGGCGCTGAGTTGGGACGCGGGCCGTGCGCATCCAGGACCGCTGCTCCCGGGGCTCGGCTGTCGCAGCGCGGTCGCCTCGGAGGACCGCGGCCGGGGCGCGGGCGGGCGCCAGTGCGCAGGCGCGGCGGGCGGGAGGGGACGCGCTCGGGGCGCGCGCGCTGGGCAGCCGGCGCCCCAACTCCGCCCGCCCCGCGCCCCG